CTGCTGTGTTCATCAGTCACACTGACTCGGTGAACACACCAGCTCTCCGCACCCGTGCCTGACGGCGGCAGTCTACACGCCGATGGGTGTGACTAAGCGGGCACCCATCCAAGTACTAACCCAACTGAGCGTTGCTTAGCTTGGGTGATCGCCGGAGTCACACACCGCCCGCGTGGCTACTGTCGCCGCTCAGAATAATTAATAATTTCCTACTATATTAATAATTTACGTAAATTTAATAATTTACCACATAACATTACCACGATAACAAGCCCTTGTACCCCAAATATTTTCAAACGTGTCAAAACTGATATCACACATCAAATATTGACAAAAATTTCACAACTCCATAGAATTTCGAATAGACCCTGAGCATTCAGAAACAAAAAACCAAAAATCCGTGAAAATTCCCTCAAACATTCAATAACTCTAAAGAAATAATAAATAATCTAAAAAATTAAAAAATAAATGAATCCCATTAATTTCATAATAATTCCCACCAAAAAACCTTGAAACAATTAAATTTCAATTTCGTGCATTAAAAATGCATGAAACAGTGAACACCAGATCTAGTCGATCAATGGATAAAAATCCAAAAGAGTTAACACTCGATTAATGAATCAAAGGTCTACAGAAGTGACTAATTAGGGCGATACGATAGCCTGTGTGATTAACGACATACGGTTCATAATTCGTTGTTATATACACACGAGTTTCATGTCACTATATACAAACGCTTTTGTTCCATCGTGCCAAGTTGAATATTAACATCCTGACGTACCTTCCAGCGATCAGTACTCTGGTGGCCGTCGAAGAGGAACAAATAGAGAATTCACCGATAATTCACAGATAATTCACGGATAATTCATCGATAATCCACCAATAATTCCCCAAGTACCTAGTTTCACTCCCAATAATTCGAGGATCTCCCAAAAATCATCTCAATTAACCGTAAGTGAACTCATTAAATTTATCCACATCGATTAATCTCGGGATATTAATTAACCGAACAAATCCCAAAAAACCGCAGATGAACCGATTTTTTCGTTTTAATTTCAATATTTTAATCATTATCAATAATTGTAAAACTTGTACTTGTATTTTCAATGGAAAATAAATATTCCTCGGTTGATTCCTCCACCACTGATAAAATCCCCGGTTATCCCAGGGGGTGGTTTACCCCCCGCATTGCGCAATGCAGCAATTGGCAATGCAATTGCGGTGCGTGCGCAGATGCAATTATCTTACCGGGTGCCGCTCTTTTCCATCTTCAAAATAATTCACCAGTGATTGTCGATCGAGGAGAGGAACCCTGGGTTCGCGTAAACGATTGAAATAAGAGTGACATTTCTGTTATCATAACACGGAATCAATCCTCGAGGGATGATAACAAAGGTAATCGATTTCCCAGGGCACGGGTGTTTAATCCGTCCTGTACCTCCCATTGCCTGAATTCTTGATGTCTCTTGATGACCTGTCATTGCGCTAATTGACGTCATTAAAAACAACCGCGAGTTAATCAGCTCAAACCGATTTTTTAACCGATTTTTTAACCGATTTTTTACCGATTCCGCGATATTCTTGGGGTGATGATGCATTTCTCAACGGTTTATTGATGAGATTGGTGCTTTTAATGATTGAGGCTCATTAGGAGAATGGATCAGTCAAGGGGTTGTCGACTGCGTACGTCAGACTAAAACGCAAATTCCACTTAATGATCAATTGATGAGGACGATGAATGTCACATTGCGGGCGAGCAAATGCATTAAACACGTGCAATAAATTTTATCTGTGTTTACCGGGTAAATGGGGAGATGACCTACTCTCAATTTATTTTTTTTTTTGCTTTTTTTTAAAGCTGCGTTAAAGGTTTTGGGGAGAAATGGATTATCCTGAAGTTTTCGGTGATTCGATTGGTATTGAATTACAATTGAATTACAATTGAATTACAATTGAATTCCAATTAAATTGCAATTGAATTACAATTGAATTCCAATTGAATTGCAGTAAAATTGCAATTGAATTGCAATGGCATTTCAAAGTAGGCGGTATCTTCAGATTTCAAGTGAACATAAAGGATAACCGTTGCCTCAGGCCTCTCGTAATAGATGTATTCTCATGTCAACGCCATGAATATTGCTTTGACCCTGAAGACGAATTCGAAAACAGTTGTCCCTCGCTTTCAAGAAAAAAAAATTAAAAAATCCCCCAAGGATATTTCTTTGTGCCCAACACCCAACGTCTCCAGGAATCGAAAAAAAAAATGGAATTGCGTTGAAAAAAATTGCCGAAATACTGGAAATGTAAAAAAAAAAAATGAAAACCACTAGCTCTTGACCTCAGGTTCCACGGATACCGCAAATGTAAACCAACGGATTGCCTCAAATTGTTTATAAAATAATGATAAAAGTGCATGCAGCTGCGTAAATAGTTTTGCTGTAATAAGAGCCCCAGGGATCCATGAATGCGTCCGCCGTGGGGAAGGCTCGATTAGTTAATCAAAGTACGACTGACCCTGACATAGACATATTTTCCATTTGCTAATGGCTTGCTGACAATTTGCAGATGAATGTAATAATATTCGCAGTCCTGGTTGTCTGGGTGGCAGGGGTGAGATCAAGTGTTCTCGTTGCTGACAATTCCATGTCTAGAATGATTGAATTAAATGCCGGTGTACCATTCTGCTCACTTTACACCGATCGCGGTGTAATCCAGAGGATGATACTGGGTACTGATCCCAAAAAAGTAAGACAGATGTCCAGCAATCTTGTAACAGACCTAGAAGAGACCTGCCGAGCTGCCCAAAATACAAAGGTAATTATTTAATTTCATTATCAAAACTTGAATGAATATTTATTTATCAATTATGAAGCAAACACCAGGGGGTGGATTAATCTACCCCGGAACAAAGTGGTGTGGACCTGGTACTCTTGCAACATCTTACGACGAGCTTGGACATCATGCAGCTGAAGATGCCTGCTGTCGAGAGCACGATCATTGTCCAATTGTCATCAATCCCCACCAATGCATGAACGGCATCTGCAACAGCTCGCCATTCACCAGGTCCCACTGTGACTGCGATGCCAAATTCAGACGTTGTCTTCAGAATCTCAACACCGAAGTCGCCAATACCCTGGGTGCCCTCTTCTTCAACGTCGTGCAGGTCACCTGCTTCAAGGAGAGACGACCCTGCTCCCAGTGGCAAAGGTTATTCATTCATTTATTTTTCTATTTATCTTCCTGCAGCGAAAGGTAAATTATTTCTCCCAGAAAATTTCACACATTTCTTTTTCTTGATCTGTAAAAATTTTATTGAGTCTTCTCTGTCCACTTTGTATTATTAATTCCCCCCAAATCGATTAAATCGATGTGTAATCATAATTTCAGTTGCAAATTACTGCAGTGGGGACGATCCCCAAGGTACATACCCCGGGTTGGAGCTCGCAGATGGAGATGTCGAGTGCTATCATTATTAAAGATAGTTTTAAATGTTGTTACTGATGTAGTGCAAGAGCACCAGAGGAACACACTCGTCAAAAATATCTATCATTTATGTAAAGCCTTTTTTTTTAAATGAACATTTTTTGTTCTTCAGTTTGAATGAAATGTCGGTGAAGGGATGAATTAATGCATGACTTCTCAAATTTTCCAGGTGAAAGGTACTAACTGTTTGCTTGCAGCTGAAAAATCAGGGGATTGGTCGAGGGAAAAATGATAATACTCAATCAATTCGTTACCTAAAAATATAAATTTTCGATTACAGAAATGGGTATGGAGAGGCTGAATCAGATCGTCTCTGCTCGCAGTATCAATTTCGACCCAGTGAAAAGTACGTTCCCCTGATGCCTCTGAACATGAACATGTGAATTCGAAAGCAATACAAAACGGGACCCGACAATCCATGATCCCACAATCTCAGTACGAGAATTTATTCTAACAAAATATAACATCGAATCATCAGGATAAATTTGATTAGTAGAATTAGCACTGCATCTGAGATTAGAATTGCTATTAGTAAATGATCGATTAATTTGATCCCCCGAAGAAATTAAATCCTGAAGGATTTAATGCGTCGAGCTCAATATTTCTGGATCGACTATTTCGATCGGGCCAAAAGAAAAAATTTACATACGCCAGATTTTTATTTAACATCGGCTCCTAGATTTTAAGAATGAGAATTTTATCCCTCAGTGTTTATCACTCCCTGTTTATATTTTGATTTACACTCGACGAAACTAGAATCCAGGGAAAATCCGATCGATCGCTCTAATTAGTTCTCTTTTATATTTAAGAGTAGATGTATTAATGGTGCACAGTCTCAAGTGATAAATGTGATACGAAACCGTGATTGATTTATCTGTAATCGAGATTGTCCAATTTAAATATTATAATCTACGAAATTAGAGATAATAACGCGGTTTTATGTAAAAACCAAATCATATCTTAGTATTATTTTTAATCCACTAGATGATAATCAAAGAATTCTGCTGAACGATTGAGTCTGCACTCATCGTTTGCGTATTTTCAGGGATTTTTAAATATCACGTAGATAAATAATTTGAGTAAAATATAATAAAATATACACATTGTTACAAATAAAAGCCAAATAAATAATCATCGATAACAGATTTATTTCCTATAAACTTGATCAACTCCAGGATTCATTTAATCATGGGAATTTATAATTATGATGTCTAGATTAAATATTCATCAATTACTTCTATTAAAATCATGAGATGGAAATATATTAGAGAGAACTTCTCCACATCTGCTCTTGATTTTCACGTGTGCGTGGCAATCCGCTCGAGTTTCCCCAATATTTACGATGGCAATTGGTTTATTGCTGTCAACAGCTTGTAGAATAATTCTGTACCCGGAGAATGTTGTCAAGGAAGTCCCCAGGACTAGTAGAGCATCGGATTCATCGACAGAGACTCGAACATTTTCAACTACAGCTCGAGGCACGTTATCACCGAAAAAAACGATATCGGGTTTGAGAATTCCCCCGCAATTTTCACAAGGAGGGAGTGCAAAGTCCTCGATCTGCTCTTCAGAGAGCTCAACGTCACCATCTGGTCGTATGGCTTTACTGACAGCTATCACTGATGGATTCGCCTGGTCCAGAACTTTCTGGAATTCCTCACGATTTATCAATTGATCGCAGCCCAAACACATGACCTTGAATGCAGTCCCATGCAGCTCAATCACATTTTTGCTACCTGCTTTCCAGTGGAGACTATCCACGTTTTGAGTTACGATGCAATTCACTATGCCGAGGTCCTCCAGGTGCTTCAGGACTTTGTGTGTAACGTTGGGACGGACTTTGGAAAATCTGTGAAAAGGAGAAAATTTTTGGCGAAAAGAAAAGAAGAGATAAAACAATATTTAAGTGGCAGGGGATTTCAACGGATTTCAACGGTTTCAACGAAATCTGAAGGAAATTACGAAATTCTACTTGACCTTGCGGTCAGTCCTGCGGTCTTGCGGTGAGTTTTGTGAGGAACCTTTCGAGGGAGTGGAAATAACTGGAAAAAAATATCACTAGAAATTTCACTACGTTATTTTTCGCATTCTCTCGGATTATCAGACTGACCTCGGCCATCCTATATAATTCCTCGCCCAGTACCTCCGCCTGACATACTCCTTATTCCTGAAATCCTGATACAGAACCGGTCTCTTGTTGCTCGTGGCGTACAATCCAACCCCCTGAGACCGATAATCTGGGATTCCGCTCTCTGTAGAAACTCCAGCCCCAGTGAGGACACAGATTCTTCCAGAATTCTTGATGAAATTCGATAACTTTGTCAAATCATTCGGATTCGGGGGCTCGTGCTTCGGAACGAATGCCAACACCGAGTAATTCCTCCCCTGTCCTGACGAAACAAAAAAAATAATGAAGAAAAACTAATTAAGAGATAACTTGGGAAGAAAAAAAAATTTATTATCAAACCTTCTCACCCCTGAGTAACCTCAAACACATTGGAACAACGCAATCTTCTTCAATTCAAAAAATGAATGACCTTCAGTCAATCAGAACTCTGCAATATTTAATAAAAATCGCTAATTTCTTAAAACTCATCCTTAATAAACTTTTAACCTTCAGTCGCCTTTCCGTCATATCAATCCTTAGCACTGATAGTCGCAAATATCTGTAAATAACATCTAAAAATCGCAAAACAAAGGCCGTTCCGAGATTTACAACAATTAAATTGCACAAAAGTGAGAGGGCGCACCTGTCAATAAGCCAGGGCGCGAGAGTATCCGTAATTTGAAAAGAATGTGAGTTTCAAATTAATTGAATGCAAATTGTAAATGGCTAATCAATGGAAATATCATTTAAAAACTAAATACTTCGAAATCGAGGAGATATCCAGTGAAATTGAAAAATTAGAAATTTTTGAAAGCGATACCTTTGCAAAATATATACTCCTAATGAAATAATATTATTGTTATAGTGCGTTATCCTAGCGGTAACGTGCTTGGCTACCACGCCAAGGGCTGGAGTTCGATCCCGT